AGTAAGCTCACTTGTCTTCCACTTGTTTCCCATGGCCTGTCTGGATGCTTTGTATCCCCGGGCTTGGCTGGATGCTGGGCCGATTAATTTTTTGATGCGCACAAGGTCGTTGCTCTGTTGTATTTCTGGTGTTTCGAGTTTGAAAGCTGCATTGGCTGCACTGGGCCGTCGATGAGTTTGCCGGCTCAGATCATGAGTGACGCATGGTTTAGTGTTGCAGTTTGCCAGGGGGACAGCTCGCCATCTTGCGACATGTTACCAGACAAGCTTTGTTACTAATTGCTTTTCGCGAGTGTTGCAACATGCGGAACATGGCTAAGCCAAAGAAGGCAACTGCGTAGGAAGGAAAAAGCCAAGCGCAGTGTCCGTGCTCTGAGGAAATCTTCATGTTGATTGGGTCTGCGCATTCGTGTTTACAAGGGGGGCAACATATGTCACAATCTGGATCCATAAATTTCATGTTTTAGCCCTTGTACGGCGTCCCATTGTAAAGTCAATGAAAAACAGAATTTTAATGCGTTCCCTTTGAATCTTGTATGTGCGTCGACATGGTGGACTATAGTTTTCTTCCTCTAGGAAATACTGCTGGCCATATTGTTCGGAGATCTCATTTTTGAACATTGCTCTGTTTGGGGTCTACGCTGGTATAATTTATACACTTCAAATCCACACGAGGACTTACTTGAGTTCTCACAGCTCAGCATGGAGTGATCTAGAATCTAGATTATATAACTTCTGCACCCACATGGCCATATAGGCTTTCTTCATGTTTCGCTCCTTCATCCGCTTCGCGTGCGCTTCGCATCCCCACTTCACACCCGCCTCGAACGGCCAGGGCATGGGCCGCGCAGCCATGGCGTCCGGGTCGCTCAGCCGCGGGTGGGGCCGCAGCTCGTAGTCGCCCCGCCGGAGCATCACGTTGGTGCACCTGCTGAGCGAAATGTGTTTTCGCACCGAGAGTCAAAAACAGGACCGAGTGGTAGTGCTTAGTATATCCTGGTCCTAGTAGTGCTTAGTAATGCTTATAGTGGGGTGGGTGTAGTTCAATAGCTTTCTCCAATGGTTTCAGGCGTTTTAGGGACAGGTGTTCTCCGGATGTCTTCAAAAGATGTTGCCAGCAAACGACCAAGCACATCGACTTCAACCGGAATGCACACATGGCATCAGCCCGAGCTCACTCATTGCAGTCGGGAAGCTTCAAGTCCCCATGGGCTAAGCCCATGGATTGAAAAAAGGCAAAGCAATTCGTCCTTGGCACCACCGGCTCGAGCAATGGAGAGCCAATTTTCATGTATATTAAAATGGTGCTTTCTGATTTCGGATTGTTGGTGGTTTTCCAGTTCAGAATGCTCCTTAACATGTCACAGATCTGGTTCACAAGCCCAAGAGTCAGTTGATGTGCCGACGAGCGAAGGTCTGCCTCGGGCGGTGAGCGGAACAAAACCCGAAACCATGCTGCGCTTTCTTCCAATCCAGGGGGCCGAAGAAAAAAACCAAGAGCTTGCGGCTGGGGAGACGAGTGCCAGCTTCAGCTTTGCTTGGACATGACATGAAACGACCTAATAAAACCACCTCGAACTGCTGTGCCTCATGGGATTCAAGATTTAAGTCGTCTACCAGCTAGGCCGTCTTCGAGCCGAGGGGCCAAAAACATCCCTCCATCGCCTTCCTGCAAAAGGCCACGCAAACTCATCGCCAAAGGCTCCATGACGATGCAGTAGAAGTCCTGGTCCTAGGACGATCACGCGCCGATCGCGATTTCACGCGCGACGCGAGGAGAAAAACGCATCCAGATTCTGAAGCCACGAAAACACCAAGCATTCTATTCGCCAGTTGATGAGCACGATTGAAGAACTCACTGAAAAAGATAGTTTTCAGGCTTCACAGGGATGTTGACCCAGGTTTTGTGTGGAAAACCCTTGGCATTCGAGTACCTTCAACTGAAATATCTTCGTTCAAAGGACCTGTCAACTTCACAGAGGTCTCACCATCTGGTTTACCACGCCGGCTCGAGGCACGTGCTCAAAGGTGTCCAACAGGCGCACAACATGCTTCTCCGCCAGCTCTCGGTTGTGCCTCCTGCAAAACAACACATTTGGGTTGTGTGTGTGAGCCATCATAGGTCACCGTGCACTTCGTCCCTTTGCGTTGGTTTCCTTCACTCGGATCTCTCTATTGCAGACTCTAGACTCGCATCCAGAAAATGTCCCATGCACGTGGGTATGGGGCACCAGAGGTGTGAAGTCTATCAGGTGACATCAACTTGCCGAACTCACCTGCGACTATCAATCATCACTTGCGGCAAAGGGGCTGAAGCTTCTGTAACGTGGCCACCTCTGTCTCTGCGTGCCTCGCAAGTGAATCACTCAAGACCGAGACACCTGACACCGCTGAAGAACCTACGAACCTACTGGCCTTCAATAGCGATGGCCTCTGTTCGGCTGAAGTTCACTTGGACACCCTCACCACGAAGCACCCTCGACCTGCCCCCACTCGCTCACACCTCATTTAGCCCATGACTGAGTATCTGGAGAGTACTGGCGATTTGCACCACAGGACTCATTCACCTTTCTGTTCCTTGCATTCAACCTGCGATGGCCTCCAACCTACTAGCTTTTTTCTATTCCCCTTCACTTCCCTGCAACATGGAATCCCAACATCAGCCCACTCGACTTAGCACTCGACTGCACTGGTGCCTCCGCTGCCGCCGCGCCGGCCGCGAGACCTTCACCGCCACCAGCTTGCCGCTGGGCTCCTCTCGGCAGCCTGCGGGAAACACGACGGGCGAGACCCAGGCAAGCTGCCCAGCAAGCTGCCCCGGGCAATGCGGAGAATGCGGCAAGAATGGGATTTTCTTCGAATCCATTGCGACCAGTTTGGTCCAACTGTTGGACCGAAGAAGGAAAACCCACCCTTCGTACCTTTCCTCACTCTTTACGACTCGAAAGCTCCCGCGGCCTTTGGAATGTACGAAACTACCCATTTGCACAAAGAGAGGTTGCCTTTCAGCTTGGCCGATTTGAAGGGTGCCGCGTTTCCAGGCAACAAGGAAAAAAACAGCTTAAGCAAACGTACACGATTGGAATTCCACATGCAAGGCCTGCCAATGCCACTGGCAAAACAAAAGAGCAATAACAGCATCATCTACGAATGACCCCATGCCATTTCAATGTCAGTTTCCCGGAAACCATGGAAGTGCCACGCTAGTAGTAACAAGAAGCTAGTAGTAACAAGTGCCACGCTAGTAGTA